GACATCACACTGCCGAGGCTGCACGGCGTCCTTCCGAGGCACTCTCGACATCACAGCCGAGGCTGCACGGCCGTCCTTCCGAGGCACTCTCGACATCACAGCCGAGGCTGCACGGGCGTCCTTCCGAGGCACTCTCGACATCACACCCAAGGCTGCACGGGCGCCCTTCCGAGGCACTCTCGACATCACAGCCAGGCTGCACGGCGTCCTTCCGAGGCACTCTCGACATCACAGCCGAGGCTGCACGGGCGTCCTTCCGAGGCACTCTCGACATCACAGCCAAGGCTGCACGGGCGTCCTTTCCGAGGCACTCTCGACATCACAGCCGAGGCTGCACGGGCGTCCTTCCGAGGCTCGACATCACAGCCGAGGCTGCACGGGCGTCCTTCCGAGGCACTCTCGACATCACAGCCGAGGCTGCACGGGCGTCCTTCCGAGGCACTCTCGACATCACACAAGGCTGCACGGGCGCCCTTCCGAGGCACTCTCGACATCACAGCCGAGGCTGCACGGGCGTCCTTCCGAGGCACTCTCGACATCACACCCAAGGCTGCACGGGCGCCCTTCCGAGGCACTCTCGACATCACAGCCGAGGCTGCACGGGCGTCCTTCCGAGGTACTCTCGACATCACAGCCGAGGCTGCATCTTCCGAGGCACTCTCGACATCACACCCAAGGCTGCACGGGCGCCCTTCCGAGGCACTCTCGACATCACAGCCGAGGCTGCCCGAGGCTGCACGGGCGTCCTTCCGAGGCACTCTCGACATCACAGCCGAGGCTGCACGGGCGTCCTTCCGAGGCACTCTCGACATCACAGCCGAGGCTGCACGGGCGTCCTTCCGAGGCACTCTCGACATCACAGCAGGCTTCACGGGCGTCCTTCCGAGGCACTCTCGACATCACAGCCGAGGCTGCACGGGCGTCCTTCCGAGGCACTCTCGACATCACAGCCGAGGCTGCACGGGCTCCTTCCGAGGCACTCTCGACATCACAGCCGAGGCTGCACGGGCGTCCTTCCGAGGCACTCTCGACATCACAGGCCACGACATCACAGGCGCTCCTTCGAGGCACTCTCGACATCACAGCCGAGGCTGCACGGGCGTCCTTCCGAGGCACTCTCGACATCACAGCCTGCACAGGCACTCGACATCACAGCCGAGGCTGCACGGGCGTCCTTCCGAGGCACTCTCGACATCACAGGCTGCACGGGCGCCCTTCCGAGGCACTCTCGACATCACAGCCGAGGCTGCACGGGCGTCCTTCCGAGGCACTCTCGACATCACAGCCAAGGCTGCACGGGCGTCCTTCCGAGGCACTCTCGACATCACAGCCGAGGCTGCACGGGCGTCCTTCCGAGGCACTCTCGACATCACACCCAAGGCTGCACGGGCGCCCTTCCGAGGCACTCTCGACCATGGGGACCGACAGACATCTCATAGCCAGCTCGATCACAGCCAGATACCGCATTGAAGTCCCCCAGAACAATCCGAATATCTAGCCGGGGACACCTGTCTGACACAGATGCTAGTTTGTAGAACATCTATTTCATGTCGAGTTTGCAAACATCGGCAGGAGCGTACAGCAATAAGTGACATGACAAATGCTAGCTTCGGTCTCATTACCATTATAGGTTTATCGACTGGAGTAACCTCTACTACCGACGGCTGGAGTCTGCTGGAGATGGCTATGACTATTCCCTGGAGATGGTGACCTTCGCTGCGGCCCGACCAATAATAGGGGTTGCCACTTACACTGATCGTGCTGCTGCCAGGTCTTCTCACCTCCAAGAGAGCAGCCACCTCAACTCTCAGCTTCCTCAGTTCCCTCAACAGCAGAAGCAACTGATCATCCTGATGCAAAGAATGGATGTCCCAAGCCCTCACCCTGACTTCCCACCTGAGGTTTAGCCTCAGGCAGTCACTCCGGGTGGGCGCTACCTCTGCCACCCCCACTAATGCTGCTCCATATAAAAGGGGGCAGCAGGTTGTGGGACCCATCACCCACCTGCGGAGTTCCCCTAGGCTTTCCCCCGCAAGCTTCACTCTAGGCTGGCAGCTGCCAGAATGCAGGTGGGACGAGAAGTTCCCATTCCTATCCTGCGTCCCAACGGGGCCCACAGCCCGCCTCTCTTGCTGGGTGAGAGGGGCATTTCCCCTCCTCCCAGCATTTCCAGTTATGCTTCACACTGCCAATGTGGGGGAGGACTGGCAAGGCCCACTCCCCTCGAGCTTCCCATTGTAGCGATTTTGAAGCTAATAAGATTTAATCATTTAACTCATTTAATCTACCAGCTGCCACCAAGAAGTCGAGTACTGAACTTTAGAAATAATGTTACTGTTATTGTTATTTATCTTAAAGTTTACCTTGTGAGGCAGGTTTTCAGTGTTCATTTATTTATATAGACATTTTATTATTTGCTTTTCCACTTGTAATTATGATTAAGTGAATTGATCACTGTCACTGAGGTCAATCACGATTACGGTTACTGGCACTCGCTAGC